TGTTATGTTCATTATGGATGATAATGTTTTCATTATTTTTGATTAAAAAATATTTTATTGAGTATTATTTATCTCAGGAAAGAAAGAAAAAGGAGCTGTTGAGGATGCCCCTGTTTCTGTTAAGAGGACAAATTGGCTTGCTCTAAGAAACATAGAAGGAAGAAGATCTTTGAGGTAACAGAATATGATGATGTTATGAATACAATGTGAAGCTGTTCAAATAGCAGTTGGCTTGAAATGTGGTTTCTCAAGACAACTTAAACTAACAGAGTAGAAGGGATTACTTAGGGGAAAGATGTGTATGGAGAAGGACCCTCAAGCCTCTTAAGAGTACTTCTGTTAGACAGTACATGAATCTGATTCAAATTAGATTATCTGAAAAGAGAATTTTTGTGGGATTTTCCTAAGAGCTTCAAGAATGAGAGTAAGCCTAAACCAGCAGAATAGTAAGACTAAACCAGCAGGTTAGTTGGCGAAAGTGACTGAAACCACCATTGAGCCTCTCTATCCCTACTACCTATTCTTCTATACATAACTCTACCTCTCTCCCTCTCCCTCCCTGCCCCCCTCTCTCTCTTTCTCTCCCTCTCCCAACCAGATTCCTCCATCTTATTGATCCATGTGAACATAATGATTCTGAAGCAGTTTCATTGTTCAATTCTGGTTCTAAAAATTCCAGGATGATTCTGATTGGCCTGATCTCAGTTATCCTTCCCTTGAAACATTTTCAGGCAGTAGGACAGAATCATGTGGTAGAAAATGTCTATTGTATGTATAATGATGTGAATCTTAGGACTGAAGTTCTTAGAAAAGTGTCTATGCTCACAGTATGGATGGGGAGAGAAATGTTTAGGCAAACGTGTGTTAGGTGACAAAACATTCTGATGAAAACCATCATTTAATCAAACAGAGAGAAACTGAGAAGCGTACATGTCAAAGAGGTTAAGAAGCAATGTTCAGAGTGAGAAGAGAGTGTTATAGAGCAAAAGAGAAAGTAAAAGAAGGAATAGATATGGAAAGATCAAGACATTCTGAGAACAAAGAGGTTTTCTTTGTAAAGACTGTGGCCTGGATTAGAAAGGAAGTAACTACTGTACAGGGAAACTTGGTTCCTAAAATGAGGGACTATTTTCTGTATTTTCACAGGCAGTTTCAAACTTGAAAATATTTCCATGTGTTTTCATCTTGTTTCTTTTGATTGCCAAATCCTAGTTACTCCAGAAGAAGCTTTGTAAATTACACAGGAGTACCTCAGAAGGTGATTTTTAAATATACACAGGCTCTGGGTGCCTCCTAATTTTATATTTGTTGTTCCCTTCCAAGTCAATGAACTATGATTACCAATCCTTAATACCTATTTGCATTTTAAAAATTTTGGGGAATTGCCTCACACTCACTTGTTGAGTCAAAACAGTCCATTGAGATTCTGAAAAATGCCAACAATTGAGTTCTCTTAGGGTTTAACAGTAAGCAAAACATAATATTAAATTTTTTTAAATGTGCCTATTTACACAGAAGGAGCTAGTTCTCTAATTTAGTGTCCAATCCTAATCCTCACTTCCCACCCTGCATAGATTATCTTTTGCATATGCTAACTCACACAACAAAGAGGTTCACTGAGCCATTTTTTTTTTTTAGCAGTAAAGCTGGTATACGTGGCTTCAACCATGCTTTCTTATATAATTGCCCTTATAGCCAAATACACGTTGTAGGATATCTAATACATTTTAGGATTACAAAATATGTATAGTTTTTGGTCATAGAAAAATAATAATAGCAAAAAAAAGCAACAACACTTGGGATCAAACAAATGATCTCAACCGAATGTACTGTACATTAATAATAATAATACCTTTTTATTTCTTAATGTCATAACTGACTTCCAACTCTTTGAATGAATGTGGTATGGCTCATAGCCTTCTTTCTCCTCCTTACACCATATCTACACTCCTGTTTCTCCCCAGCCCACACACATACACATATGCAAATTATTGATGGGTCCAGACAATGGTGCCTAGGATGGGAACTTTCAATAGCTGAGACTAAAAATAAAACAAACAAAATCAACAACAACAAAACTATTACATCCAATTGTCACATTCTTTTTCATGCTCTCAAATTCAGCACCATTGACATTTCTGGGTTGGATAATTGGTTTTGCGGCAGGGGTGGGGTGGGGGGTTGTCCTACGCATTGTAGGATGTTCAGCAGCACCTCTGGCCTTTACCTAATAGATGAAGTAGTAATTCCAACACCAGTTGTAATAAATATGTCTCCAGATATTGTGATAGAGGAAATTGGAGGTGGGAAGAGGAAGGGGACAAAATTATCCTAGTTGAGAACCACTGTTCTATTTAGATTCACTTTCTTTAGAATATTCTCTTGCACTCTCCTTGGAGATACCTTTTCTCTGTGTTCTTTGTCTTTTTGAAATGTCACTGTCTGTAAATGCTAGACCTGATTTGGAGTCAAACTCAGTCTGACTACAAATGTGTACTCTTATTCATCGTGCTATGTTTCCTATCCTAAAGAGCAAGACCAGTATGAGGAATTATTAATTCTTTACACATACACATATGTATGTGTATATAGTTAACTCTCCTTTGTGTTATATGAAATATTGACATAAATTTCATGAAACATTCTTAAATCTTCATGTGGGTGTGAATTACATATAGATTAAAATGGAAGATCACTTCATCTGAAATGAAAGAGAACATCATCGTGCACAGATGCATCATAAAAAATTATAGCAAAAATAGTTAAGCGACATATCCACATGTATGCAAGAAATTAGGTTTTCTATAAATATCCACACATATACTTGAATATTCTCAAATCTGTATTCCACTGATATTTCTAAACGGGTAATGGCCAAGTTGTATAAATCTCTAGATGCTTATGTATGATAAAGCAATTTATCAGTTTAAAAGTTACTTGGCACAGGAGAAAAACCTACCTGATGGAGGTAAAGTATGATAAAGAAAATGTACCTTTTGAGTGTTCACTGATACTAATCAGTTCACTGATACTTTTCTAACAAGCCTTTCTGAGGTAAGCAAATTGCAGAAAAATGGGAATTTTCAAAAGTGTATACCTGGAAAAAAAAATATTAAATTCAGTCCATAAGAAAAAACCTGTGACTAAGACAGCCACCAAAGTCATCCTGATGGTGAATGAGAATGCAGCATGTGACATGTTTAACCACTGCTGTGATCTTGCATGGGCTGGCATTCCGTCTTCAGGTATTGTATTACCAAACAAACATACAGTGTTTGTGACCTTGCAAAATCTCTTTGAGCCTCGCTGAGTTTTAAAGCCTTAAATCAAGATCCTGCCAGGATGAGATGATTCTTGCAAGAATGATAACCTGTAGATAAGACAAAATGAAATTTAGTTGGATCTTGAAATGACTTGGGTTAACTCTAGCAATGGAAATGTCAATCAAAGGGCCTCAAGTCAAGGCTAAATCCAAATTTGTGTTTGACTCCTAGGACTAGATACTTTGGTTATTATTGCTTCTATTACATTTATACTTTTTTCAACCTCAAATGTAAAAATGAAAAACCGTAAGCTCTAAGTGAACAAATATCAGGTTACAAGTATACCAGTAATTTAATTTGAAGCAAGAAAAAAGAGGTTGGTTCTAAAATTGGAGTATTTGTACCTCGTAAATCAAGTCTGGGTTTAAGGGCTCTAGTGACTCCTTTATATTTTATTGTGTTTTGTTCTGTTCTGTTCTGTTTCGTTTTTTTTCTTTTTGAGCTGAATCTGGTGATAAAGTGGTTTGGGTAGCTCTCTAGAGTTACTGAGGAGAAATAATAAGCAAGCACATTCTTCATATAGTCATATTTTAATATTGAAACATTATTTCTGTCCATTAGATACTGATACATTTTATTACGATAAAGTATCCAGAACATATATTATACCTGTTCTATTCAACAAACAGCTATAACTTTAGCCTTTCTATGTAAGGAATAGGGAATTTTCTACTATTATAATACTATATTGGTATGAAGTATTTTTGATATATCTCATGGCCTTGGCAAGAAATCTTATACTATAAATATGGCTTTCTAAATAAAATAAAGGTTGAGGGCTATGCCACTTTTGATTATCTAATTATTACTTCCTGAACTGAAAAGATCAGATTTTACTTTTTAGCAAAATATTTATGAATTACCTTCTGTAGGAGAAACACCTAATTATCTTCCATTATCTTTCCATCTCTTTCCTATTACTACTAGAATCTCCTGAATTTTAAAGAGCTACATGGCTGCCTGACCTACATTACTTCTCCTGATCTCTTTAGTTAACTGTGGTCATATGACCAAGTTCTAGGCACTGGGGTGTAAGCAGAAGTGATGTGCACATACAACTGCCTTTGTTACGCTCTTTAAAGAGAAAAGCATTTGCCTTTAGCTCCTCCATTTTCACCTTCCTGGAGGCTAGGACAGAGAAATGATGCTGATCAACCAACTTCAACTATGTAGACTAGATGAAATCAAGAGCACCACAGAGAATGGCACATCTGAAATATTCCTAGAACATCTCCCAGAGCTGTCACTTATCTGCCCCAAACCACTTGCCTACTTAGGAGTGTTCAGTAACAGAAATACCTTGAGCCATATTTCCATTTTTTAGGTGAAAGTCACATTAAATGAATTATTTTAAAGTATATAATTCAGTGGCAGTTAGTATATTCACATTGTTGTGCAGCACTGCCTCTAACTAGTTCCAAAACATTTTTTCACCTCCAAAGGTGACTCCGTACCAGAAAAGCAGTCATTCCCTATTTCCACCTCTCACCATCTCCTGGCAACCACCAGTTGGCTTTCTGCTTATTTAGCTATTCTGCATTTTTTATACAAATGGAATCATGTAGTATATGTTCCTTTGTGTCTGACTTCTTGTACCAAGCATAATGGTTTGAGGTTCATCCACATTTTAGTATGTATCATTCCTTTTTGGTCTCAATATTTGCATGTATGGGAAAAGCAAGCATCATGGCGGCCTACGAGCAGGTTCAGAAGGGGCCCCTGAAACTAAAAGGCGTCGCAGAGCTCGGTGTGACCAAACGGAAGAAGAAAAAGAAGGACAAAGACAAGGCGAAACTCCTGGAAGCAATGGGAACGAGCAAAAAGAACGAGGAGGAGAAGCAGCGAGGTCTGGACAAGCGAACCCCGGCCCAGGCGGCCTTCGAGAAGATGCAGGAGAAGCGGCAAATGGAAAGGATCCTAAAGAAAGCATCTAAAACCCACAAGCAGAGAGTGGAGGACTTCAACAGACACTTGGACACCCTTACGGAGCATTATGACATTCCCAAAGTCAGCTGGACGAAGTAGCCTCCCCACCCAGGGTATGCAGTGGCATCGAGGGGAATTGGAAGGCAAAGTTAAGGTTCTGTTTGGTGCCTTTGGTATTTTCTAGAAACATTCTTTTACACACACCCTTGCGTTTTCTGCTGAGACAGATGCTTTTCCAAAGCAGTGTGCCCTCTTGCTGGAACTTGATTAAAGTAAAACTGTTCTTTTACTCCATTTCAGTTTGTTGGTAGCATAGAAGGTAAACTTTTTTAGTTTGGACTGGAAATTTTGTACAGGTTTATTTAGAGATTAAGGTTATTTCTGTGTCACATACAGAAAAGCGTCTTTACCCCCAAGTTGCATCTCATTCTGACAGTCATCCAGCTAGCTGTCTTTACTGGGATGAAACGGACTCCAGAGGATAAGGAGCTAATGCCAGCACAGCCTGAGCTTACAGACCCCGCGCGGCCTGCGTGAGCTGTCCTCCCAAGCACCATTTAGCTTGGGGCTTATTCTCTTCCTTCCAGAGCCTAGGGAAGCCACTTAAACCTTCATGGCCTTCAGAATACCTCCTCAGCCACCTGGTGTGTGAGACAATGCAGCCTGGGAAGCAGAAGAATCGCCAAATGCAAGGATATAGTACACACCTTGTCCCCGTCTGAGCAGCCTGTGGCCGGCACGCAGTCTCTCCCCCTAGGGTCCCCATTCCAGACATGTCTAGAGGGTATCACCGTGGCAGACTTCATTAATCAAGGACAGCATCCCTTTGTAATGGACCCAGACACAGCCTGCCTCACTACCCTCAACCCTAGGCTCTAAGCAGTCCCCACGTTTATTCAGAGTTGGCAGAGAACATGTAGCCTGCTTGGTGTTTCTGGCCTAAGGACACCTCAGGAGTGACAGAACCTGGGCAGAGCCCCAGCACCAAGAGTACAGTCCCCTGACGGAGGTCCTGGTGCTGGAGAGCCCTGATCTCTGAGGACCTGTGTTATACCCGCATGATGAGGATCAAACCATATATACTACTGGGAGGAAGACTGTTGACCTAGGTAGTGGCAGAGTAGTAAAGTCAAAAGAGAAAAACCAAGTGTTGGGTTTGGGGCTGTCACGTATGAACAGAATAAAGCAAAAAATAATTATTAAAAAAAAATATTTGCATGTATGTAGGTGTGGGTATATATATGTATTATTTTTTGTTTATCCACTCATCTGCTGGTGGACATTTCAGTTGGTTTCAACTTTTGGCTATTAACAATGTTGTTATGAACATTCCTGTATACTTATTTGTTTGAATACATTTTCTGAATATATATAGTTGAATTATTTTTGGTATATACCCAGGAATGGAATTGCTGGATTGTAGAGTAATTCTGTTTTTAATTTTTGAAGACCTGTCAACTTTTCCACAATGTTGAATCCTGCTTTTAGATCTCTAGCTTAACCTGTACCCCAATCATTAACCTTACTTAGTGTTGGGCACTGCTGTTATAAACATGGAGCTTTCTGTCTCTCAGTGGATACAGAGAGTAAGAACTATTGCAGAAACATGACAAATATTTCAAGAGCAATAGCATAAAAATCTCAATTTCTCTGGAAATTAGATTTTAAAATACAGTAAGATAATTAAAAGAAATATTTAGTAATGATTTTCATGGTTTCCTTTTTTATCTGTGGAGCCCAAAGATAAGAGATATCAGTATGTATCTTCCCTAAGGTAGGATCCTTTCACTCACTATATCATTTGCAAAATAAGTAATTGAGTGAAATGGACTAGAATGAATGCACAGTGGATGCAGGGGCTAGTAAGGTTTGGGTTCTTACTCTCAGAAACTTGGAACGTAAGAACAACCAAAATACATATATCACATCTTCCGGTGATAATTTATCCCAAAGAAGCTGCAATCAAAATCTATAGTGATTATTTCACCAGATATAGGTCTTCTCTTGGAGAAGGGATCAGAAAATGATAGATTGAGTGTGTTTTAGATATTTTAATTTTGTGATTTCTATTTTATTTGCAAGTGGTGATATGAACTAGGCATGTAAGTGATTCTAGCATGAGTTGGGAAACCAATGGAGAAGTCTGAGAGTCAGACAGAGCTGGAATTATAAATGTAGAGTCATCACATAAAGATGCTATTTCAAGTCATAAAGTTGTATGAGATTACCTAGGATGTGGTTGCATGTACATAGAGAAGGAAATCTAGGAATGAGTCCTATAGTACTCAAATATATCTTCGTTGGGAAGAAGGAGTCAGAAGTGACAGGGGTAGAAGTGTCAATGAGCAAGATGGAACTCAGGAAATGTGATCTCCTAGAAGTAAAGAAAACAAAATGTTTGGGTGAGAAGGTAAAAGTGTTAAATGTTAGTGATATAAAAATTACAATGGCTTTTGGCTTTGGCAACGTGATGGTCATTGGTGACTGACAAATGCAGTTCCAGTGGTAAGGTATTATGGAAAACAAAACAAGTTGGGTTGGGGAGAAAATGAAATAAAGACAATCATTATTGATCATTCTTTCAATCTTTCAATATTCTTGTTTTAAGATTTTATTTATTTATTATTTTATGAGAGTCAGAGAGAGAGAGAGAGAGAGAGAGAGGCAGAGACACAGGCAGAGGGAGAAGCAGGCTCCATACTGGGAGCCTGATGTGGAACTTGATCCCAGGATTCCAGAATCATGCCCTGAGCCAAAGGCAGATGCTCAACCGCTGAGCCACCCAGGCATTCCAATCTTTCAAGATTCTTAAAGGGATTGACATGAAGGAATAACATGACAGCAACAGCAAATATATATACTACTTTATGTACACTTATAAATATATATAAAGCACAACCTGTGTAGGTGTTGTTTTCACTTCATTTACATGTAATAACTCACCTCATCCTTACTTCAACCCTATTAGATAGATGTACTATTATTCTCATTTTACAAGCAAGGAAACTGAGACAGTGAGCAGTCAGATAATTTGTCCAGGATCATGTACTAGATGGCAGAGCTAAAATTCAAATATAGCCAGTGTATTGCTCCAGAGTTCATACTCTCAATCTTGTTGGTTTTAGCAGATTATTAAGAATCTTTGTTGTTCACCTTTTTATTCCATTGCCTTTTGGATGACAAGAACCCAGTTCCTGGACCTTAGAGTGCAGTTAAGAGGGGGAACTTCACAGCTGAAGGTTTGATAATGAAATGAAATTTGGATCTATAATGTTTGGTCCTGGCAACTCTGTTTATTTTTGTTTGTTTGTGTCAGCTTTATGGTTTTTATAAAAGCTTTATTTTGAGAGGCTTGTTTTATAGTTTTAGAGAACAATTGACATAATGGCCTTAGCCCCTTATTCATTTGTCATTTGAAGATTGTGATAAAATTATTCTTCCAGTAACTAGCAGAAAAGAAGGAGATAAGGATGCCAATTGTTTAGGTGTCTTCAGGCAGCAGGAAGATCCAAGTATTGGCTACTGCCAAAATAATGTTTACAGGCATAGAGGGAATTTATGAGGAACTTCAAATCATTATTAAAAATCATGAATGGCCAATCTAGAGTGCTTTTAAATCTTATGTTAAAATATCGTCTCCCCATTACATGGGTGCCCTAGATAAGCATTTTCCCTGAATACAAAAAATATATTTTTGCAGGTCAAAAGCAAGGATGAATTAATCCTGTTAAAATATATCATGACAAATATCATGTTTGTGTGTGTTTCTATGTGTGAAATGTATTTCAAGTAGCATTGGCACATTATTATAGAAGACGCCTTATTTATCTTTATTGAATCACTTCTACTACTTACTAGGTATGTGGCCTTGGGCAAGTTACTTAAATTCTCAGTGCCTCAGTTTCTTCATCTATAAAATGAGAATAATAATGGGTATTAACTCACTGAATATAAAACATAGCTAGCACTCTAAATTTGTATTTTTTAAAAGATTTTTATTTATTATTTATGATAGTCACTCAGAGAGAGAGAGAGGCAGAGACACAGGCAGAGGGAGAAGCAGGATCCATGCACCGGGAGCTCAACGTGGGATTCGATCCCGGGTCTCTAGGATCGCGCCCTGGGCCAAAGGCAGGCCCCAAACCGCTGCGCCACCCAGGGATCCCTCTAAATTTATATTGAATGAACCAAAGATTGCACTAACCACCACATACCAGATACACACACAACACACTGTGAGTCTGACCTTTTCTGACATCCCGACTTGGCAGATACAGCTTATTCTAACCAATTCCAAGTGTCTCTTTCTTTAAAGCATATACTAACTTAGCAGCAGTTTTTCTAAAACAAAATGAAACTCTTACCAACTTACTTCACTCAAGAATAGATAACAGCTTTCTTATTTATCATCTACATCAAATCCCATGTATTATACCTATATTTTAAGACCTCAGATTTGGTGAGTTACTCTCTCTGTTTCATAGTCTTTAACTTCCTTTAATCCATTCTGGTATTCTCATTTTCCTACATGAATTTCTTTCTCATACTACCAGTGTATGTCTAGTCTTTTCTCAAATGTGTCCTGGAAACCCCATGGGTTTAAATCTTTGTTGCCTTCCATATTCTACAAGATGAAGCTCACATTTCATATTTACCATTTCTGCTGGATTGAATTTACATTTATTTCATTCCCCTACTATAACTCCTGTATTGTAGCTTGGAGAATTAAATACTGTCTTCAGTTTCCTTGGGGTGAGGCTTCTGGATGCAAATTAGGTTTCACCAGTTAGAAACAATTGTATGAGATTTGTAATGAGGGCATGGTAGTTCTTGGAAGATAGATTGGACTAAAGAATAAGCAATAGGGATCCCTGGGTGGCTCAGTGGTTTGGCGCCTGCCTTCGGCCCAGGGCGTAATCCTGGAGACCAGGATCGAGTCCCATGTCAGGGTCCCTGCATGGAGCCTGCTTCTCCCTCTGCCTGTGTCTCTGCCTCTCTCTCTCTCTCTCTGTGTGTGTGTGTGTCCATCATGAATAAATTAAAAAAATCTTTTAAAAAAAGAAGACAGTGAAGACAGTCATTTTTGTTTACTCATATGTTTGTTGTCAGGGTGTGGTTTCTGTTCCATGCATGGAAGTAAAGACAATTAGGTTTTCTGTAGTGGTGTCACAAGTTTCATGAGTGCTGAGAGGCCCTTATGGTGGCCCAACAATAGCTTTCTGAGCCCTTTATTGAAGCTGTGTTGATATAGTTTTGGGAGTCATTTCTGGAAATAACCTAGGCTGTTCCATTCAACTTTGTAAACTCTTAAATCTGCCTATAATTGCTAAAGAATTTTTGCTGTTACTGTTTTGTTTTGGTTCCCATAATAAGTCTTTGACTGATTCACATGAATACAAACCTTCACAAACTGTTCCCAAATTCACCCTCCCGCCTAATTACCTACAATTGCTACTTCTGTTGTTTTTCTCAAACAGTATATACTCTAGACGACTGCCATTTTCAAACAATCCAAAGACTTAAGTAGTTATGTATATCTATTTATTCTATTCCTTCTGAATACCATTCACTCCTTGCTTATATAGCAAAATTCTACTCTCTTTTCCAGGTTTATAGATAATGCCTTCCTAGACCTTTCAGACCAAATCAGTTTGTCCTCCCACTAGATTTCTGTAACAACT